ATCGCTGATCTGCTTGAGTGTCACTTTTATCAATTTATTTATCGTAGGATCTAACCAATCCGTTATGCGTGTGCATCCATGGCGTAATGAAGTCATTTCTCGCACGTTCATCAACGTGGAATACTCGATCCATTGTATATGCGTATCATATCTATGATTTACATTACTCCACGATTCCATAATGAATGAATCCAAAATCTTGTTACCCGTAGTCCAGTCAAGAGGTCGTGGTGCCTTACAACGATAACAGAATGCATTTATATGACGTACATATGCAACCGCACACGCCAGACATAATCCATATCCGTGTCGTTCTTTTATTAGACAATACTTTTGTTCGCTTTTTCTGTATGTAAATCCGATGGTAAACCAAACATCCGCGGTAAGAATGTCTGGATGCTTATCACATAGCTAGTGGAAATGATACATAATAACAAGTCAATAATTATCTAAACTATTCAATAAACATGGCGCATAAAAGTAAATAGTTTACCTCGGCATAATATGAATCATGTGTCTCGTCTGTTATCTCAAGTGTAATCAATTTCACTTTTGCATAAGCAGGTAGACCACCTAAGGTTCCATATCCATTTATCCTATCATAAAAACGATTGAGTGGAATCCATTCGAGATAGGCGTCATTTGGTGAGTTTGTTTGTAGTTGAGATTTCTTAATAAAGTCGTCGAGTTGGTGATTGTTGCTAGTCCACCCATCGGATAATTGTTTATAACCACAAATGCACCACACGGGACTACATCGGAGTATTCCACATGTGGAGCAGAAGCCATATCGAGCATAACAATGGTAAAAGCGTTTATCAGCAACCATGTAATAGTTATCGTCATTAGACTTGGTGAATCCCTTTATGAGTTTGTTGCGTTCCTTAAGCCAATTCTTATATCGTCTAAAGTTATTGTCATTATCGTACTTGTGTGTTGGAAGTGAGTATATCCTAGCAAACTCACTAACGAAAGTTGGCGTACATTCTTCGCTGCTTCCAAGTAATACTAATACTATCGACGTTTCAGGCTTTTGAATGGCGTAGTAAACGTTGTCGATTTGACTGGGCTTTATGTCTGTAATTTCCGCGAAAGGAATCCATATCTCCGGACTAGTGTTGATCAAGCCTTCAATTGTCGGATTGTTAACCAGCGACATAGCTTGTTCTCAGTGAACAGTTTCTAAAGATCATTTTTCAACACACATTGTATCACGTGAGTCAAGTTAAGTACTACACCAAATTACTTGTGCGCAAAATTTACAGTACGTAAAGGCAGTTTACTAGTCTTTGGCACATACCGTAACCAATCCATTACATAAAAAAAGCCAACAATTAGACGCGTATCGATAGTGTGAACGAATATTGCACTCGGTATAAATAGTATCAAGGCTGCAATGGGCCTTTTACTCTTCTTCATGTTTCCACTGATAGTAGGCTGCAAAAACTGCTTAAATTATTTCGCCATGGTATTAATTTGTGCTGCTTTCAGGATATTTTTTTTCTTTTGAAAAGTGAGCTGTTGATAAATTCACTTGCGCACAATGTAGAAATTACTGGTTATTAATGTGCTCATTACGGCACCTCTTATCATTAATTTGCATCAAACGATATGCTCTCCGATCTATTTATAAAGCCCAGGTAAGCAATCGATTTACACATATAGATAGCATACTGGAAAAGTATGGCTTTAGATTCAAAAGCGATAATCTGAGCTTTATGAAATCGACCCACATATTAGTATGTAAGTCTTCTAATCTACTAAATTACATGTTGTCTTTTTAAGTTTCAAAATTTAAACAATATAAATAGCTGGTTTGCAAAGAGAAAGACTATGGATATTTTGTTGATTGAGTTTATATATACGAAAAATCTGAAATTAATGTCGTTTGATGTGATTTTTGAATTTAACCGAAATTTACGTATACAAAGACTATGTAATTAGTAAACGTTCAATAACTGTAGGCAAAATCTTTCTCAGCAATAGATAAAGTAAATGAATTCGTGCATCCGACGGACGTGCATTTCTAAAACATTACGCAATATGCAACCAATCAGCGTTTTATGTTAACGTCATTATATAAACTGCACATGCTTGCTGCCGCTGGTGGGTTACTCTTCTAGAGTTCAACTTTCCGTTTGCGTCTGGTTAGGAGGCCGTTTGTCGGTGTATTATGCAAGTGTATATAAATGAGTGTTATAATGTACTACCCATGGATTCGTAACCAAAGACTTGGTTTTTTCAATCCCTTTTTCGATATGTCAATTATTATGTGCTTGCGCACGCGGCTACAATTGCATATTCTTACGTTCATTCAAAGCAAATCGGTACGTTACGACTGTGGACCGGTTGCCAGACATCATTTACGTCGCGAAGAGAGGTGTCCGCTGCGTTCTTAAGAAATAATGACAAGGCTCGCTGAATAATCTCAATAAGTTACTGCAAAACAATGAGATGATAATGCGTTGAGTGGCTGTTTTCCACATTGCCCTTATTCACAAAAAATGGTACAAAGATATTCATAGCAATCCACAAGAAATACCCAATTATTTTGCTACAAAGTTTGATTCCAACATTTATCAGCAAAACTAGTAATTTGCTATAAATGGTACAATTATAGTGAAGATGACGAACTATCTAATTACTATTGTTTGGTAATTTTTTTTGATAGTACACGTCGTTTTTTAAGTTCAAGTTCATTACATGCTGAAAAGCTTGTCTTTTAACAAGCCTACGGTTATACTGATTACCTGTTTTATATCCTTCCTCAAATTTTCCCGATTTCCCTTGAGCGCTTTTTTCGTAAGATTTATTTGATATTCACTATGGCTCGTACAAAAAATTCCTTCGAAAGTGAACATAATAAAATGCCAATTTGCACTTAAATAAATCCGATAATTAGCAATACACAGCTATACTACCTTTGGCAAAGAAATCCAGTATATCTGCGTAACGTCATAATAGAAAATTCTTTTCACATACCTGTTGACACAATCCCATATAGATAGTCGTAATCCTCGCTCTTGAATGCCTCATCAGCTGTTCGCTTATGTGGAACGAGCTTTCAAGTTGTTTGACATTCTATAGGTAATCCTATCTTGACGTTTCGTGGTTTTCCCTTGGTAATACACAAAAGATCTTCCATTCCAATTATTGCGTAATCCACTCGACCAAATGCTTCTTCACCCGAAATATTCCTCTGCAGGTTTATATTAATTCCTCTATCTGTTAACCTCCTGCGATTGCGATTGATGCGTGTAATACTGATGAAATAAATTCACATTGGGTCACCTCGCTAGCCTTCTAGTTACGGACAGTCAGTCGCACATGCTCTGCACTTTCGTTTGACAGTCTACTTTTTTCATAACAAGACTAAACTGTATTTGCTATTTGTACGTTAATCTACTGTTGGTCTGACATTATTAGGAAATTGCACTAACCATTATTTGAAATTTATTAGTTGCAAAAGTCCGGCTGATTATATATATGACTAAGGCTAAGATTAAGATTAAGACTAAGACTAAGATTAAGACTAAGACTAAGACTAAGACTAAGACTAAGATTAAGACTAAGACTGGCTCACATTTTTCGCCTCCGCACTCGTATTTTTTTTTTATCAAAAAAATTTTTTGTGTATTGTCCATTTTCCTGGACTTTTTTTTTGCCTGAAAATAAAATTAACACAGTTTATGAAGAAATTACGCGCTTTCCCATGTTGTTTTGACATTTGCATTCTGTTTCTCGTACTTATTACGCTGAAATTAATTTTGCAAGCGTACCATCATTCAGTTTCTTTACTTTCGGATGTTGCCTAGCATATTCACAATCTATACTCAGTCGGGATTATGTTTTTATTTTAGGTAAATGCTTCGATGTTATTTGAAATTATTTTTATTTTTGACTTGCAACGATATTTACAAAACAATCTTCAATTGTACTAACGACATGATGTTATTAACTGATTATGTTACTATTATAACATATGCATTTTAAATTTAAAAAAGGCGTTACTGGTCTTGAACGTAATACAAAAGGGAATTATGCAAGTAACAGGAATTCAAATATGATTGTGATTGTAAAGGAGATAAATCACTATGAAAACGGCTGGGACCAGAACGGCCAAGGTGTGACTATACAGCAGATAACTGTAGGGTAGGGGAAGTTGACAGTATATACCCTGACGGTGAATTTTTATTTTTTTCTCTTTTTCAGGAAGTTCAGTGAATTTACGCAACCGTATGGCGAGATCACACAAAAAATTCCACGACATAGAATGTTACCTTATAAAACATGATATTATGAATTGATTATGGTCATCATATACCAAGCAAACTTTTATATAACGACTTGTTCCAGAAAAACCATCTCTGAATCAACCTTATATATCAGTACAGTTCCCTTCCTCTTGTGCTACAGCCACTAGTTTAGAAATAGCGATGATCCATTTAGCAAAATTCTTAACCATTTGAGAAATATAAAAATGATTCCATTGTTGTACATGACGTTAGCTGTAGTAAACGTGAATTAAGTATAAAATCTCAAACCGGAGCAGACAGTCTAATCGTTTGTAAGTGCCAGTCTCTAACGACTCTTTACTCAAAATTGCGATATCGTTTTATTCAAAATGTTATTTTTTAAATTGGATCCTCTATCTTGGACCACGACCGTCCCATTACAATGTAAAGCGTGAGTACTTTGAAAAATGCTACATCAACACTGAATTACCAGCTACACAATGAGACTGTCAAGTTGATCAGTTACATGAAAATCAAAATTTCATTTGAGGAGATTGACGCGTTCGAAGATCACTACTTCAGGTACTATACCGACCTGCAGAAATTCTAATATCATTTGTATGACCGGGTTTGATGGAGCTCGCATCTACTTCCCGGTTGCGGGTGCGTTAATCAATTACCAATCGGAGCTAACGAACTAATTTGAAATCAACAAAGTTGATAATAATTGCGTAGCGCTTGGTCGGAAACAAACAGATCACATCCATGGCGTCCACGGCAACATTATCAGCGATGGTATCATCTACCTCGCAAACAAGGCTCATCCAACACATCGAACAGGCAAAGTTTTCGTGTACGACTTTGGATATAGTATACTATTTGGATACAGGATCACGAGCATTCACACCACAAGCGCGACGACAGCAAAATAAACTGTATTGCAAAACCACGGAGATGTAAATTGCAGCAACAAGTTTAATATTCACTCAAATAGGTGTCCAGAGAATAAAAACACCATGGTATTTTACAAATTGCAAGAAAGAGCACAAGTACACAAAGAATTTCTTGGTAATGATTGTACGACCGCTCTTGCGCGGGGACACTGCTGGAATGAGATTATGGATTAGGCGGGATGATAATAATTAATTGTATTATTATTATTATCTATATTTAGATTCTCAACAAGAATTTTTATGCGCTCGACGTTCAAATCTTAACAATAAATGTGACGTTACAAAGTTTAATAGTTAGTTGTTTTAAAAATTAACTGTTGTTATTACTCGTAGAACTGGTCGTAAAGTCTAGCGTAGTTGTCGGTATATACAGTATGCTGTTAACATTTGACGACGATTTTTAGATTTGTGCATAAACTTTTGTACAGTCAACTCTCTTTATAACGACCGCCTGTGCTCTGCCCGTTTTCAAAAACGTCATATAATTATTGTATGTACTACGCTTTGCTAATGTAATAACTGGCACTAATAAATTCAGAGAAAGTGGTGGTAGCACCAGCACAACCAAAGAAATCCAAAATGAAAATTTTAAGGAGGGAGACACCAAATACCAAATAATAGATACAGCAGGAATCGGTGATACTCAGTTATCTGGAGAGGAAGTACTAGATAGAATTGCGGAAGCAGTTTATTTAACAAGAGATGGAGTAAGCCGTATTCTCTTTGTTACTGAATGTAAATTTGACAAGTACGAAACAGCCAGTTATAACTTACTAAGAAAAATTATTTTTGATGATGACATCACTAATTATACCACTATTGTGCGAACTAAATTTGATGGCTTTAAAAACAAAACAAAGTGTCAAAAAGATATCGAATTAATGACTGAAAGCAGCAGTAAGTTAGCTGAAATAATAAATTCTTGTGGCGGCAAAATTGTTCATGTTAGTAATCCCCCAGTAGACCATGACGAAGAAGAGTTGGAATTTAATAAAAAAGACAGAGACAAATCTAGAAAAATCCTACTTGAACACTTAAGAAAATTCTGTCAAGACACTTACCAACCTCCTAAATTTCCAGGGTTCCTACCTGCATCTTAGGCATAAATGTACTATCGCGTCTATCGAAGTCTTGGCACAAAACACGCCATTAATTCAAAAAATCAAGATGAATTAGATAACTCTTTAAATGTTGCGGATGTAAATAACAATATCCAGCATGCATTATTGCCGATGCATTATCCGGCCGGTGAAGGTGCTCAAATTGAAAATAAGTTTCATTGTCCAGGTAAACATGGCTACATATTTATTTATAAACTTTAAATAAGCGATTCTCAATATTTACTTTTAATGAATAATTTTCTTATATTTCCAATACTCTGCTCGGAAAAGGTAGCTAACTGTGAACACGTATGACTTATTCAGCGTCTTGTTAATTCATTCATATTGACATATGTAGAAGCACATTGTATAATTCGAACATTTAAATAAAACTCATATAATAATTAACCGCAATAAACCGTAAATTACAAATTTATTCAAAAAGAGTATGAGTTGCTAAATTATAAGAAATAAAAGTGTTAACATTGCAATATTGTAAATTGACTTCATTTGTACCAATGCGTAACATACCTGCAGCTGAATTCAAATCGTAGCTATTTCTTGGTTTAGGCAAAGCTCCAGTAGGTAAGAGTGTGCTGGAATATTTACTCTCCTTCTCGAGACGTGATAATGGCTTTAC